GGCAATGGAAGTCTCTGCCTGGAGAATGGCTGAGGCAGTTTTTGCAGATCTGTTTCTCTCTGCTTGTCTGGGTCCCCCAGCTTGGGGTTACACGCTGAGTGCCTCAGCCAGGGTGGGCCCAGAGCTCCAGAGCTACAAAGCTCCAAAGGGCAGGCGGAGAGTGGCAAGAGTGGCCTTGGGTCCCCCACAGGGTACTTCAGCCAGGAATGGGACCGGGGTCTCTGAGGGCTGGGCGCCCAGAGCCTCCCTGAGTGCCTGGCGGCTTGGTGTTGGGTGCTGGGTGGGAGATGATGTATCCAGGGAGGGAGCTGGGACCCGAGACTCCCACACATACGGTGGAACAGCAGCAGCAGGGGGCCGCAATATCCGGCCCTGTGTGGGACCAAAGGTCCCTGGGCCTCGAACCAGCATGGCTGGTGATGGACTGGGGGATGGGGGAAGAAAAGTAAGAGTCTGTTTGGGAACTCACGTTCGGAGAATCTCAAAAGTCCACCTATGCTGTCGCCATCTTGTTCCCCGACATAGAGTATTTATATCAGAACATTTTTTTCCTTCTAAAAAGTAACTAGTTAGCACATACTGGAGGCATCTTTACTCAGGAAATGAGTTGCTCTCAGAGCACATTGGTGACATTTCCCTTTGATTGGTTGAGGAAAGCTGGAATCTTATTTAATAGTTGATTAAGGCTAATTCAGTGATGTGGGTCTCTGGAATCATTATGGCATACACCAGAGCACCTACGTGTTCCCTCCATCGCAGTGAAGATTCTTCTCCAGGTTCCTCAGCACAGCAAGACTTTAAGGGAAGCTTTATTTCTCGAATGTGTTGTGCTTTATGAAACTTTGCAAGTTCATATAGGCTTTGATGGTTGAGGCCTTAGTGAGCAACAAATCTTCAACTATCATTTCTTTAAAATGAAATCAAAATAATAGAGAACAGAGCCTCCCATCTGATGACTTGTGAGCAAGGTGTGGATGTTTTGGGGAGTTGATCCTCAGTCCTTGGGATGCTGGGCTAGAGGCAGCAGATCCTGAAATAGTCATACTCCGTGGGGTGGGATTCAGCTCATTTGCTAAGTCTGTCCCCTAGACAAATCTGGTTTTTTTTTCTCTGTCTCAGTGACTTCAAAAAGTTTTAGATTATTATAAAAGAGAGCTCTTGAATGCCTGGTAATAGGAATAACTAACTCCCAATGAATCCAGGAAAATTAAAGCTTTTTGAAAAAAAATTGTGACATATAATATATAATAAACAGTAAAGTGATCAACACACAAATGTACATTTTACCAAATAACAATGAGGTGAACTCCTGTGTAACCCCCACCTGGGTCAAGAAATAGGACACTGCAGCCTCTCAGAGTGACTCACCCTTCCCCGTCATCCTCCCTGCCTCGCCTGAGACACCTCCATCCTGACAAAGTGGCCCCTACTTTCTTGATCTTTCACCCTAATACTTTGAGTATGAGCTTGCTTCTTAAATGCAGCATTCTGAGAGATTTCTGTGGCATGCACAGCTCTCTATTGCACATGTTTGTAGCTCTTTGTTCTACTTTCATGTGTGTGCATAGTCTAGTTCTCCATTCCATGCTGATGGACGTTTGGATTGTTTCCCTTTTCGTGTATGCTTTTGAATTTTGCTTCTTTTTATGTTTTGTTTTTGAGTTGGTGTCTCACTCTGTTACCCAGGCTGGAGTGCAGTGGCATACTCACAGCTACCACAGCCTAGTAACTGATCCTTCTTCTGGGCTCAGCCAATCCTTCCACCTCACCTCTCAAGTAGCTGGTACTACAGGCATACACTACCGCTATTTTTAAAAATTATTATAGCAAGAAGGTCTCACCATATAGCCCAGGCTAGTCTTGAACCTCTAGGCTCTGGCATTTCTCTTGCCTTCGCCTCCCAAAGTGCTGGCGTTACAGGCATGAACCACTGCACCTGGCTGCATCTTGCTTCCTAAACGCAGCACTCTGAGAGGTTTCAGGGTGTTCACATCTCTCTATTGCTCATGTTTGTTGTTCTTTGTTCTACTTTCACATGTGTGCATATGAAGATACAGTCTAGTTCTCTGTTCCACATCAATGGGCATTTGGGTTGTTTTCATATTTGGCTACTAGAAACTAGGCTGCTGTGAACTTTCATGAACTTGTGACTTAGGGCACATTGGTACATGCTTCTCCAAGACTTTTACCCAGTAGAAAAATTGCTAAACCATAGGGGATGTTTAATTCCAGTGCCACCAAGTGATGTCACCCTTTTTTCTAAAATGGATGTTATTATAGTAAGCCCTACATCAGTATTATCTTTATATGAATTGCATTGTGCCATGTTCTCACCAGTGCTTGATATTATGAGACTTTTTACTTTTTGTCAATTCTGGTGGATGTGACCTGCTATATTATCATAGTTTTAGTTTGCATTTCCTAGCTTTCAAATGGAATTCAGCATGTTTTTATACATGTATTAGAAACGCATTTCTTTCTTTTCTTTTTTTTTTTGCAATGTGTCACTTCAGATCTTTGCCCATTTTTAGGAACCATTGTTTGCTTAACAGACCGGAGGTAGACACCCTCCTAATGGGTGGGTCCTTTAACAATGCCACCAAAGACCCAGGTGACTTTCCCTCCTCCCCTCTGTAATCCTTAGCATGCTGAATTTTTATTATTATGCTTGTGAACACATGATTACAAGTGTATGTAGATGATGCACATTCAAAAGTGGGAGGTGAGGGTAGGAGCAAAAGGTCTTCTCCCTGACAGTGTCTGACCTTTTATCCAGAAAGCAAAATCCTGCTAGCAGCATTCTAGCTGACTTCTCATGACTCTACAGCCCGGGGGCCACTTTTAACCCAAGAAGGTTGGGAGGGGATGGGATAGGAAAGTGGGTGTAGGAGTGGGAGCCCAGCAGCTAGCTGAGACTCCAGTCCTGATCTGTCCTTCAGGGCTTGGTGATCCTCTTAGTGAGGAAAGAGGGGCCAGCCAACAGTAGGCTAAAAAGATGTTTCTATGTAGAAGGAAGGAGAATATTTAGAAATTTGGAATACTCGTTGATGAGTAGCATTGGTCTTCTGAGCCTGACCCTCCTTCCTTGGTCTTTTTTCTTCATCCACGCTCAGTGATGTGTTTTGTGGCTTTTTGCTGTGCACCAACCTCACCCGTGCGCCGCGCATTGGCCAGCTCCAAGGAGAGGTCATCCCGACTTCCTTTTACCACCAAGGCCGTGTCATCGACTGCAGGTAACGCATCAAGAATCAGGAATCCGAACAAAGCACTAGAATTACAAGCTGTTAAAGCTCAAATTTTGATAAAAATCAAAACTCAAGATTTTTCTATCTAGTTCTTTTAGTAGGAAAGTTGACTGAGATTTTACTATCACCTTTCATGTTGAGAGTCACTTTCAAAATAAAGTTTTATATTGATTTTCACATTACATTTGCTCAAATTGTGCTAATTATTAGTAACGAGACATTCTTCATAATCATAACCTTAAGAGTAGAATTGTGGTGTTCATGTTCCCATGATTAAAGTTCGGAGCATTGAAATATGCTACTATTTGAACACTGTGTGTGTTTATGACCAAAAACACAAAACAAAACAAAAGAAGACAGTTTAAGCTATACTTCATGTAGCATGTGTCTGGTTTGAAGATGGCTTAGCAAATACCTCATCACACTAGAAAATATTTATTAAAATATTGTTTATAGGTATAAGCAAACATTTGATGCTCAGTTATCTATGAGTACAAGGCACACATAGGTATGAGACTTATTTTGTTAGCCAAGAAGTCATATTATATTCCAAATAAAAGTCATTCCTTTCACAGTAGTCACAGTTCTAAGACTGTTCTATTACTCAGTGGTGCTGTTGCTACCCAAAACACCTTTGTGATTTTCCCTACTTAATTGCCTTCAGCATGTGAAAACTTTTCCTTTTGGTATTCTTAGAATACTGAATCTTCACCTATGTGCAAGAATATAAGATTGGAATTATCCAAAAGTAGTTTTGAACAAATTTTTGTAAATTGATTGGGTAATAAATTGATAATGCTGTCTTAGTCAAATGGTTGCTACTTTTCTGTCTTTTCAATGACTCTGAAGGTAATTCTAGTAGGGTCTTAGAAAACAACATCCTTCCTGGAATAAATGTATAACCTTAAAACTAGTTACTTTGATGTACACAAGCTTTCTTTGAATATGTATGTTTTCACATATCCTTAGCTTCAATAGTCTTGTTAAATTATATTGTATACTAAGCTAGCATATTTGTAAAATATTCAGCAAGATCTTCTATTCGGAATTGATTATTATTAAAGTTCAAGTTACTCTCAAATTTGAAATTTTGGAAGTACAGTCATCCACTGAAAGCATAAAATAACATTTTAATCAATGACAGACCACATATATGAAAGTGGCTGCGTGAGATTATAAATACACTAATTTTTACTGTCCCTTCTATGTTTAGATATGTTCAGATACACAAATACTCACCATTGTGTTTCAGTTGCCTACAATATTCAGTACAGGAACATGCTGTGCAGGTGTGTAGTCCAAGATCAGTAGGCTAGACCACACCCCATCTGGGTTTGTGTAATACACTCTATGATGTCCATACAATGACAAAATTGCTTACCGACTAATTTCTTCGAATGTATCCCTGTCATTAAGCCATGCATGACTGTAAATATTCATAGAAAACTTAAATTTTTTTTCAATTATGGATAATCAAAACCTCTGAAGCAATAAGCATAGTTTTTTTAAAAAACAGTTTTCTTACTGTTTTATTTTTAAAGGCTTTGTTTTCTCTTTATTTTATTATTGAGATGTGGTGCACATAGTTTTCAAAATATTTTTATTGTCTATTTTGCCCAACATCCCCTTTTCACTATGGGCCATATCTGAAGACCTTGGTGGGCTGGTGGTGTATTTTCCAATGCCTCTCTCTGGCCTAATGTTGGGTCTTAACAAGTGAGGATTTGGGTTACATGTCATGCATGTGGCATGTTTTCCTATGGAAGTGCAGTGTGATATGACAGTTTTTTATGCTCTGTGTTGAGAGGCAGTGGGGAGGGGGAGAAAAAGAGAAGGGTGGGGATACTTGGAGAGACCCCTGTCCATGGCTGTCTCTTTGTCTTATGAAAAGCAGCTGTGTTCTGCTGGTGCTGCATTTCTCTGTACAGCGCTGATGGCGTGAGGGTGTGCTTCTCCTTTCAGTGGTGCCCATGTGGTCTTAGATGATGACACGGATGTGGGCTATGTAGAGGATGGGACACCGTGTGGTCCATCGATGATGTGTTTAGATCGGAAGTGCCTACAGATCCAAGCCTTGAATATGAGCAGCTGCCCGCTCGACTCCAAGGGTAAAGTCTGCTCAGGTCATGGGGTAAGTAGCACCAGTGTCCAGCTTGAGCCTGTGTGGTCTGGCATCCTTCACAGGTTAGACTTCCAGTTCATTCACTCTCCTGCTGTGGCTGTTAACATCTGAGCACGGATGGTGATTACTTCCTCAGCATCTTTATCTGCTGAGAATAAACCATGTCCTGACGTGGCTTCATTTTTGTTGTTTTTTTGATCACTACCTATTTGTATTCAGTCCATTATCTAGACAACTTGACACCTGCATTAGGGTTCCTGGAGAGATGGAACCAATAGCAGATAGACATGTAAGTGCAGATTTCTTATGAGGACTTGGCCCATGTGGTTCCAGATGCCTAGTCCACAGTCTGCTGTCTATGAATGGCAACTTGGGGAGGCTGGTGGCATAATTCAGTCTGAGTCCACAGGCGTGAGGTGCCATGGAGCTGATGGTGTGAATCCCAACCCTAGAGCTGGTGGGATGAGATGTCCTGTCTTGAGCAGTGAGGTAGAATGAAAGGGAGCAGACTCCTCCTTTCCTTCTTTTTGTTCTATCCAGGCCTTCAGTGGATTGCATGACATACACCACATTGGGCAGGGTAGTCTACTTTATGGAGTCCACTGATTCCAATGTCAGTTCATTTGGAAACACCCTCCCAGGCACACCAAGAAATAAAGTTTAGCAAAATATTTGGGCATCCTGTGGCCCAGTTAAGTTGACACATAACATTAACCATCATAGCATCTGAAGAGTTGGGAGAAAATGGATGTGTTCCTAAAGGAACTTCAGATCCCATGTGACTATTGAGCAATTTGTAGCATTTCAGGCCATCTCAGGAATTCCCCCTCAGCTGCTCAGGATGCATGCTGAGACTTCTGTGTTCAAGATCCCACTAGACTAGGGGTTGGGTTGCTATGTCATTCACATGTTTAAAGTTGTGCAGCTGTACTTGGACCGAGGTCAGCAGCAGAGCAGATGCTGGCCCTGTTCATCCAGCATGGATCTGTGATTATGTGAACAAGTGTTTGGGCAAGTTGCCCTTACTGGCAAACCTAGGCCTTATATTCCAAAACAAATTTAGATAATTATTTAAACTGGGCTTAGCGAAAAGAAGATATTTCAAAATGTGTACAGACCTCAGAGATGGAGAAAAGATACACGAAGAAACAGAGCAATGCTGTAGAAGGGAGGTGCTGGAATGAAGGTGGAAAGGAGCCAAGGGAGATGGCTGGGCCGGTGCCGTGAACAGAGCCCTGCAGGAAGGTCTGAAGCTTCTACCTGCCAGCTCGCTGGAGTTTGGGTGTGGTGGGATCATAGGCACAGGGGACAGTATAACCCAATGATGAAGAATGTGGATTTGGTGTAGGAGGAATCCTGGGTTTGAATTCTAACTCTGCCTGTTGCTACCCCCAGGACTTTGGGTGAGTCAGGTAGCCTCTGTCAGCCCTCAGGTGCTGTTGTAAGGGTGAAACAAGATGCTTCACATAGGCTGGGCTTGGTGGCTCAGCCTGTAATCCCATGCTGTGGGAGGCTGAGGTGAGTGGATTGCCTGAGCCCGCGGGTTCGAGACCTGCCTGGGGAACTTGGCGAGATCTCATCTCTACAATAAATAAAAAAATTAGCTGGGCATGGTAGCGTGCACCTGTAGTTCCAGCTACTTGGAAGGCTGAGGCAGAAGGATCGCCGGAGCCCAGCAGGTCGAGGTTGTGGTGGCCGGGAACGGCCACTGCACTCCAGTCTGGGTGCAGAGTGAGACTCCAACTCAAAAAAAAAAAAAAAAAAAGATGCTTCACATAAAGCATTTAGCTTAAGTATCTGTCAAGTAGTAAGCTCTCAGTAGTTGGTACCTTAAAGTAAAATCACTGGACAGATGTTTTCGTTATTACTCTAAAAACACAAAACTTAATGCATGAAAAGACCCTTGCTTTTTTCCTATGAATCCTCTCAACTTTTCATCTTCTTTTTTAAAAAAAGGCCAATTTCAGTCCTGTTAATCATAACCACAGTGTACCATAACATTTCAGATTAAAAAGCTTTTAAGTTTGATTTTATTGTCTTTAGTAATCTCTCTCAGAATGTATTTTCAGGGGGATAAGGGCTTAAACACCCTTGTCTCTAGTTTGCAGATGTTTGTTTATTTCTTCTAAATTACAAGTTCATCTGGCCTGCTGCTTGTTCCCCAGAGAAGGAGGGAGGAGATAGGCCGATCTGGGTCTTCAACCTGGCTGGCTGAGAAAAGGGTTCCAGGGGCTGGTGGGAGGGGCTCAGTTAGCAGGGAAAGAGCCACCAAGTGGGTTTGATGTTGGCCACGGGGGTGGGGTGGGGTGGGGGGTGAGGTTGGGAGGGTAATAGGCAGGCATCGGTGGTTTGGGTGCCTGGTCTTTTATCTCCGACAGTGCCTCTTGAGCCTAATATTATTAATTTATTGAATTGAGAGTCCATGCCCCTCTCTTCCCTTCTTTCTTCTCAGGTGTGTAGTAATGAAGCTACCTGCATCTGTAACTTCACCTGGGCAGGGACGGATTGCAGTATCCGGGATCCAGTTCGGAACCCTCATCCCCCCAAAGATGAAGGACCCAAGGGTTTGTGTGATTTCATTTTAGTTCGTTGAGTACTGAGTTCATGAGCACTGCTCTAGTGCACTGGTATAATACTTTAATAGATTTGAGAGGAGACACGTAAGAGTATCTCTTTTTGCCATTAAAATGTATAGTTTATGTTACTGTAGAATTAAGGATTCTGGTATACCATATTTTTAAAATGTGTTTGAATTGCTTCTTAGTCTAAAACTGAGATTAGGAAGAAGTATATCTACTGGTTTTCCTTAATACAGTTTTCTTTTTCTCCTTAAGCCTTTCTTTTTCCAATCACAATTGCTAATTATTTTAAAGTTTGTCTAAGCCATGGCAGCCTTTTGATGGAGAAAATCTTTTTGGCTAACACGAGCCTGTTAAACTCTCAATACTGGAACCCTCCAAGCTCTTTGTAAAAACTCTTGATTAGGAAGGAGTTTGAATTCTTCACAGAACTTTAATGCTTCAAAGAAAATATGAAATATCTGGACCTTTGTTTTAATCAGTCATTAAGAGGAGAGAAACTAGAATCTCGGAATTAGAAGGAGTCTCATTGACCACCTAGGCCCACCCTTAGATTTTGCAGATGAGAAGGCTCGGACCCTGAGGCCGAGGGACATGCTCTGGTGACCCAGGTAATGAGAGGCAGGCTGGGACCAGGATGGGGGCCTGGTTTCAGACTCAAGCTCCTCCCTCCCACTCCAGCATCTCACAATGTGGTCCATGTCATCCTGGATATAGTCATCACTGTCTCATGATTCTCTTCATTCTCAACTCCTGTAGAGTTCTCAGAGATCTAGAAAAGCTGCCTGTCACAACAGGCCTATTTCAACTTCTCCTTCATCGCATCTGAGAAGCCAGGGAATTTCTAGATACGCAGTGACGTCATGGTTGTCTGCTTCTTTCTCACAGCACTGCCGACAGTGCCTCATAAGCAGCTGCCATGCTTTTCTCTCACAGGCAGGATACCATACATAGGACAGCTTAGCTTTGGATGGAGACTTGCTGTGGCTCTCTGGACTTCAGTGTAGTCCATGTGGGAAAACAATGACCCCCAAAGTGGATAAAATGCTGCCATCCTCAAGTCTTGAGAAGATCAGGTTGACCTGGGCACAGTACTCGCAAGGTGCTGACTCACATTTCGTGCATTTGTACAGTATGTCCAGGATGTCAGATACCATAAGAATTGCAGTCACACCCCTGCAGGACACATCTGTTCTTCCAGTTCTAAAAGGGAATATATCCCAATTTTGCACTTAGTCTTTTGTTACTTAAAACTGGAACAAAAAAATTCTTGGATCCACCTTCTGAAGTTAAGATAGAAAAGCTTTAGACTTTGACAAAAAAAGCAGAGGTTCATTCTTTCCCAGTTTTCTCTCCATCACATGACTGTGGTTTTTTTTTTTTCTTTTTAAAGATCTGGGTACAGATACTTGAATAGATGAGCAGAGCTGAATGTACAAGACTCTGCCCTTCTCTCTAAGTGCGGTAGGGGATAAGTGAGTGTCTGGTTCTATCCATCCCCCACCCCATTCACTTGCCCACTCCTGGAAAACTTATTTGGAGGCATTAAATGAGCAAAGCTACGTTTTAGAGAAAAGGGTTCACAGCTGTCTTTCATTTTATTCTGCTGTCTCCCCATTTATGTGGTGGTATTCTACACTAGCTTTAAAAAAATAACTTTTTGATCAGTCAAGTAATATATGTGTAGTGCAGAAAATTTTAGAAGCACTGAAAAGATTAAAAATAAAATAAAAGTCATCCTTTAATCCCACAGCTCATGAGTATTCGATATTAATATCCTGGTACACTTCTTTCCTAGAGTATGCATTCTTTTTCTTTCTTAATGAAGACAGTGGAATCATTAGAGTAAAGGTACCCATGAATTCTAAAATTTTTGAAATCCTTTTAAATATCTAATAATTTTTATTATGTTGAAAATAAACCACTAATTGGAGCAAACGCAGATCAGTTATTTTTGTAAATTATTAGACATTTCCAGAAAAAAATCAAGTGATTTTAGTACAAGTAAGTAATAGCTGTGTCTGCAATGGCTATTTATATCTTTTCAGTCTCTATAGAAAAATATACTAAATATACCAGCAAGTGGGAAACAACAGAACTTAAACATTTTAAAATTTCACTGAAGATATATGATTTACTTTTGATATTCAGATTAAAAGAAGATAGTGAGAAACTATGTACTTTACTTTTATTGTAATCAATTTATCAAATATTCATTGACTGTGTACTAGCTAAAAGCTAGCATATAGTTGGCACATAGTAGGCACTCAACAAAGTTAGCATCCCTTCCCTCTGGGGATGTGTAGAGGAGAGAGAACACTACACACAGGTGCTGAGTTTCCATGCACCCACATCCATGTGTTGTGTTGCTTTGCTCAAGAGTGGCAGATAATGGGCTCAAGACACTGAGACAGTTCTGCTTTTTTGACTATAGGCTTAGCAGCATGGGATGTCAGGCTTAGTAACATTCAGACAGCATGCTGTGTCTTTCTTCTTATGATCCAGTCAATTGGACTGGCACTTTCCCTGCTGAGCTCAGCATTTGGGCCCTCCCAAAGTGGCCACCATGTATAATGGGCCATACCCATGATGACCTGGCCCTTCACATCCATAGATGAAGGTTTTCTGGATAGATGCAATAAGAGAACATTAAAAATACTTGGTCGTATTTAATTTCAACATGCTTTCTTGATATGAACAAAAAAACTGAAGAGACATAATGAAAATATTTCCCTTTTTACCATGAACATGAACATGATAGACACATTGTATGCAACTGCCCTTTGGATCAAGACCAAATGAGCAAAAACAAAGGTAGAGTCTCTGAATCCTTTTTTGTTGATTTGAGAATGTCAGAAAGGAACTGTGTGTTTTGGGCATTTCTTTTGTTTTAACTGTAAGTTTCTGGAAGAATTAGAAATTCTACCCCTCCATCTGGGTAGGGACTGGAAACACACATGTCAGTGCTGCCACCACAGGCTCTCTGTCCTTGTGGTTGTCCCCTGAGGACCCATGGCGCAGAGGGCGCTAGATTACTCACTCCAGCTTCCCAAACCCAGCGACTGAAAGACAAGATGTAGGCTCTCAAGCACAGACCATGTGGGAAGGCTTTTCAAAAAGATTCTAAGGACAGAGTGGTGGCTCATGCTTCTAATCCCAGCACTTTGGGAGGCTGAGGTGGGAGGATTTCTTGAGCCCAGCAGTTCGAGACCAGCCAGGGCAACACACAGTGAGACCCCATCTGTTCAAAAATTAAAAAAAAAAAAAAATTAGCCAGGCATGGTGGCTCATGCCTGTAGTCCCACCTACTTGGGAGGCTGAGGTGGAAGAATTGCCTGAGCCCAGGAGGTCAAGGCTTCCATGAGCTGTGGTTGTTGTGATTGTGCCACTGCATTTCAGCCTGGCAACAGAGTGAGACTCCGACTCAAAAAAAGAGAAGATTCTAGCAATGTGACTTTACTTTTTCTATATTGTCATTCATTTCACCTAGGAAAACTCTTCTGATCCTCTCTTCTCTCAACTTGTTTCCACTGAGATCATGGGAAGACATGATTTTGGTCTGCTCTACAATGATAGAAAATGTTTAACTCCATTTAAAAAACCTGGAATTTTCACCTGTTGTCAAGGATCCATGCCAGGCACCCTTGATTTTTGTCAAGTTGTAGACACCTTCGTATGGTGTTCAACAAGGGGCACAGTGGACTGACTTAAATATTTATAAAGTTTTAAAATTTTTCAGTAATTGCGAGTTTATCTTTTATCAGTTCACAAAACTTCTGTAGGTTCATTGCCACCTTACACTATCTAAAATATACTTTTATATGAGATAATTTATTTTGTATTAATTTAGAAATTTGTTTATGTATTCAAAAATGGACTTAAAATATTTCTTTTATTTTATAGAAAAGAGTAAGGAGATCCAGTTGTGTGTCTAACATGTTGAAATAGGGCGCTAGATACTGATGTTATACTGTACAGTATAGTTTTTTAGTATTCACTTTTCAAATCTTGCATTTCAGTGGAATAATAAGCCCCTTGCAGAAAGAACTTTGGTCTGTAGAGTAAAATGATGGCTTTGATGCCTTCTGACTGTGAAGTATTAAGAGATTCAGAATTTTAGTTCCTGTTGGAATCACGATGAGATAATGCACCACTTTAAAAGGAACACAGTTTTAAAATGTCTGAAGTATGACTTACCTATAGAGGAATTCTACATATAAAACAGAACATTTTCAGAAAAGGAGAAAACTTAATAGTTTATATCTTAATATTACAGACATATCCAAAACTCTGCTTTTTAGCACAAGTGAACCTAGATAGCAAAGACCAAGACTGAAAATAATAGTAAACCAACAAATAACAACAGAAATAAGAAAACAGAAATGAAAATATCCTGCTAGGTCGCAGATGGGTTCCCCAAATGTGTGATAATGAAAGGTGAGTGCACACATAGAGGGAGCACAAGAGAGTTCCTGTCAGCTGGAAGCTTTCAGAGTTCCATCTCCAGGTTAGGTAGGATGAGAAGAAGGTGTGTTATCATGTGCCGTGCAGAACTCTTGGAACAAAAAGATATTTAGTAGATAACGAAGGTGTGAACGGAATGAATTCAGTTTAGAATAGATATATTAGTATAGAAGTGTAATGTGATCAGGCCCCTAGAGGTCCAAAGACATTCTTTTCAATGGGTAGCTGTGAGAGGCAGCTGCAATCTCTGTTTTCAAATCCCTCCTCTGTAAAATCCATCCACCTGAGCCACTCAGCTGATTCATGTCAGTATGAACACAGGTTGAATCACTTTGAAGAGATAACCCTGTAGACATAAAGACGAAGAACCCAAGGGCTCTTCATATACATTTGCAGAACATCAGGACTGCTGTGGAGGGAGGGAGGCAGAGTAGGAAGCAGAGGGGGCTTTGGGAAAGCTTTTCCCACTTTCTTTGATCTTGCTTCAGTGTTAAGAGTACTCATTAGTTGAGTATGTGGAG